CATCTCGATGTGTCCTCCGGCTTGCAGTATGAGGTCGTCCTGGTTCCGTCCCAGTCTCAAATCTCTGGAAGACTTTCAAGAATTTCTCTGTATTTAGCGCCATCCATAATTCCTTCAATTCTGACCAGTTTCCAAGTCCCTGCCGATGAAAAACATCCCCACAGCATGCACCACCATGCTTCACTGTGGGGATGAATGTTCTCGGGGGTGATAGAAGTTGTTTGGGTTTGTGGGCCAGACATGCGTTTTCCCTTGATGGCCAAAAAGCTCCAATTTAGTCTCATCTGACCAGAGTACCTTTTTTCATATGTTTGGGGAGTCTCCCACATGGCTTTGGCGAACACCAAACGTGTTTGCTATTTGTTTCTTTAAGCAATGGCTTTTTTCTGGCCACTCTTCCGTAAAGCCCAGCTCTGTGGAGTGTATGGCTTAAAGTGGTCCTATGCACAGATACTCCAATCTCCGCTGTGGAGCTTTGCAGCTCCTTCAGGGTTATCTTTGGTCTCTTTGTTGCCTCTCTGATTAATGCCCTCCTTGCCTGGTCCGTGAGTTTTGGTGGGTGGCCCTCTCTTGGCAGGTTTGTTGTGGTGCCATATTCTTTCATTTTTTAAATAATGGATTTAATGGTGCTCCGTGGGTTGTTCAAAGTTTCTGATATTTTTTTATAACCCAACCCTGATCTGTACTTCTCCACAACTTTGTCCCTGACCTGTTTGGAGAGCTCCTTGGTATTCATGGTGCCGCTTGCTTGGTGGTGCCCCTTGCTTAGTGGTGTTTGCAGACTCTGGGGCCTTTCAGAACAGGTGTATATATACTGGATCATGTGACAGATCATGTGACACTTAGATTGCACACAGGTGGACATTATTTAACTAATTATGTGACTTCTGAAGGTAATTGTTTTGCACCAAATCTTATTTAGGGGCCTTCATAGCAAAGGGGTGAATACATATGCATGCACCACTTTTCCGTTATTTATTTTTTTGAATTTTTTGAAACAAGTTATTTGGAAAAAACGCCAAGGGAGATTAATACTTTTATAAGGCACTGTAAGCACAGGCAAAATCCTAGAGCAAAACCTGGTTCAGTCTGCTTTCCAACAGACACTGGGAAACAAATTCACGTTTCAGCAGGACAATAACCTAAAACACAAGGCCAAATATACACTGGAGTTGCTTACCAAAATACATTTTACAGGCAACATCCGCACTGAGCTAAAGGGTAGAGCTGCCGCTTTCAAGGAGCGGGACTCTAACCCGGAAGCTTAGACGAACCATCAAACAGGCAAAGCGTCAATACAGGACTAAGATCGAATCGTACTACACCGGCTCCGACGCTCGTCGGATGTGGGCAGGGCTTGCAAATAATTACAGACTACAAAAGGAAGCACAGCCGCGAGCTGCCAAGTGACACAAGCCTACCAGACGAGCTAAATTACTTCTATGCTCGCTTCGAGGCAAGTAACACTGACACATGCATGAGAGAATCAGCTGTTCCGGACGACTGTGTGATCACGCTCTCTGTAGCCGATGTGAGTAAGACCTTTAAACAGGTCAACATTCACAAGGCCGCAGGGCCAGGCGGATTACCAGGACGTGTACTCCGAGCATGCGCTGACCAACAGGCGAGTGTCTTCACTGACATTTTCAACCTGTCCCTGACTGAGTCTATAATACCTACATGTTTCAAGCAGACCACCATAGTCCCTGTGCCCAAGAACACTAAGGTAACCTGCCTAAATGACTACAGACCAGTAGCACTCACGTCAGTAGCCATGAAGTGCTTTGAAAGGCTGGTCATGGCTCACATCAACACCATTATGCCAGAAAACCCTAGATCCACTCCAATTTGCATACCGCCCCAAAAGATCCACAGATGATGCAATCTCTATTGCGCTCCACACTGCCCTTTCACACCTGGATAAAAGGAACACCAATGTGAGAATGCTATTCATTGGCTACAGCTCAGCGTTCAACACCATAGTGCCCTCAAAGCTCATCACTAAGCTAAGGACCCTGGGACTAAACACCTCCCTCTGCAACTGGATCCTGGACTTCCTGACGGGCCGCCCCCCAGGTGGTAAGGGTAGGAAACAACACATCTGCCACGCTGATCCTCAACACGGGGGCCCCTCAGAGGTGCGTGCTCAGTCCCCTCTTGTACTCCCTGTTCACTCATGACTGTATGGCCAGGCACGACTCCAACACCATCATTAAGTTTGCCGATGACACAACAGTGGTAGGCCTGATCACCAACAACGATGAGACTGCATATAGGAAGGAGGTCAGAGACCTGGCCTTGTGGTTCCAGGACAACAACCTCTCTCTCAACGTGATCAAGACAAAGGAGATGATTGTGGACTACAGGAAAAAGAAGAGGTCCGAGCACGCCCCCATTCTCATCGACGGGGCTGTAGTGGAGCATCACCAACAAACTAACATGGTCCAAGCACATCAAGACAGTTGTGAAGTGGGCACGACAAAACCTATTCCCCCTAAGGAGACTGAAAAGGTTTGGCATGGGTCCTCAGATCCTCAAAAAGTTATACAGCTGCACCATCGAGAGCATCCTGACTGGTTGCATCACCGCCTGGTATGGCAACTGCTCGGCCTCCGACCGCAAGGCACTACAGAGGGTAGTGCGTACGGCCCAGTACATCACTGGGATCAAGCTTCCTGCCATCCAGGACCTCTATACCAGGCGGTGTCAGAGGAAGGCCCTAAAAATGGTCAAAGACTCCAGCCACCCTAGTCATAGACTGTTCTCTCTGCTACCGCACGGCAAGCGGTACCGGAGCGCCAAGTCTAGGTCCAAGAGGCTTCTAAACAGCTTCTACCGCCAAGCCATAAGACTCCTGAACATCTAATCAAATGGCTACCCAGACTATTCTGTCAGCCCAGCGCCACGCTGCGGTTCTTCTTCAGGTTTACCACACACCGCTCAGACTCCGGGGAGAGGGACACACTTTCATCTTAATGGGTGATGTGTAAGCCTAGGGTATATTCTGAGGTATTTCAGATGGGTCACTTTGTTACAGGAGTCCTACAAGGGCTGTATCTCCACCCAGCGGGAGTAGCTCCTTTGACCTGACACTACCAACATGGAACATATTATATGTTCCAGCCTATTAACTCCAAATTCAGACAGGTATAATACAATCAATCAATATGCTCCATCTTATAGAACCTGGGAGGCACTGATTTGCAGCAGAAGCATGTTGGGTCATAGGACCACTCCCAGGTGTAGGCAAGCACGGACAAGTAGGCCTCACAAATTTCACCCAACATTACCACTTCTTTTCATCCATCCATCATCAAAGCACACTGGTAACTTACTGAATGGGAAAGCAAAAGGAGACTAAGACATTAGCAAAAGAGATGCCGTCTGAGCTCACCTTCTGCGTGTCTATGTCCTGTCTGATGTTTCCACTGTCTTTGATCATCTCCTGTTGCTTCTCTGCCTCGTGGAGCTGAGTACTGGTCTCTTTTTGCTTCAATAGAAACAGCACATGAAAAATGTGTGTCAAAAGACATTAAGATAATGCTTATGAGGATGAGAAACAAACAGAACCTATGTTTACCTCTGTAGTCATCCTTGCCCTCTTCTGTGGGTCTGATAATCTCCCTTTCAAAGGCGGCCATGCTTTTCACTCGGTCTTTGATGCTATTTATCTGGAATGGAGGGAATGAAAAGGTTGTTAGAAGCGATGCATTAAAAGATAAAGAATAATAACATTGACATGATTGAGACATGGTAGGTCGGCGATGGAAATTAAGTCCTCCAGTGACTGGAAGAACACTGTTTTCAGACTGAATATGTAGTCCTCCATTAGCACTTTGGCAGAATTAGCAGGCAAGGCTGGACCGTTAAATATTAAAAAGAGAAAGAGAGAGAAGGGAGCGGTAATGGTGGTACCTTCTCTTGTCCCTCCTCCTGCCTCTGCTTCCTGCACTCCATCAGATCCAGCCTCTCCTGCTGCAGCTTCTCCAGGGTGGCGGCCAGAGGGGACACCTGCTCCTTAGCTTCATGAACACAACAATAATAATAATAATATGCGATTTAGCAGACGCTTTTATCCAAAGCGACTTACAGTCGTGCGTGCATACATTTTTGTGTATGGGTGGTCCCGGGGATCAAACCCACTACCTTGGCGTTACAAGCGCCGTGCTCTACCAGCTGAGCTACAGAGGACCACAACACAGGGGACACTGATACAACGATAAAGCTGTACACCGACCATCTGTTATTACTTCAACTACAAAACTCCAGAATCAATACAGGAAGAATACAGAAGAATAAAACCTGTTATAACCATAAAAGGACCACCTGCTGTTAGACAGTTCTACCACTGAGATTTTAGTAAGATTCCAGCCAGTTTCCTCAGCCAGGTTCTCTGAGCTGAGTGGAGTTTTAGCCTGATCTCTCTGTGCAGAGCCTGGATCTCAGCGGTGAACTCCTCACGCTGCTCCTCCAGCTGCTGCTGCTTCTGCATGTCGCAGGAGATCTGCAGCTTCTCCACCCGGGTCTCGTTAACGCTGCTCTTCAGGCTCTGGATCTGGTTCTGCTGGTCCTGGATCAGCTTACGCTTCAGCTCCATCTTGCTGGACGCTGCAAGGAATCAAATAGCATTGGAATTCATAGTAACACAGCATAAGTGCTGTCGAATAGATATTGTCATATACCTACTCTGAATTGCTCTGTAGGCTACTGTATGTCATCATAGATGTAATATGTACATGAAGGACCAGCAATTCCCTTCACTAACAGCTAATGAAGATTTCCTATAAGGGACTCCAACTTCCAGTCGGGAATTTTACAGTTGGTAAACAGGTCTTGCTGAGGAAGCCCCAGTGTAACATCAGTGTAACATTAGCCTCAGGCAGGTAGTACTGGTGTCCAGGCAATGTTGGGTTTCCTGTTTCTCCTGGTTGACCTGCTGGATGGTGTGGCTCAGGTCCACTCCATGTAGCTTGGCAGCCTGCTGGGCTATCTTCCGTTCCCCGTCCTTCAGGTCCAGCTGGAGACCAAGGACACACACACACACACACACACACACACACACACACACACACACACACACACACACACACACACACAGGTATTAAAACAGAAGGAACGAAGGAAGGGAGGGAAGAGAGGCAGGGGAAGAAATCCTGAAAGAAACATAGAAAGAAACGTGTAATGAGGAAGTCTAACATCTGTACAGTGTGATCTTCACATGAAGAATGAAGACCACACTGGCAATGTTATGTTGTGTATTGTGTAGTCTGACCTGGTATCTGTCCATGAGGGAGATGTCCTGCAGGCAGGCCTAGGCTGTGTCCTCCTCTGACATCAGCGTGGACTGCAGGGTTTCCTGCTCCTCCACATCCCCTTTCAGCCTTTCAATGTCCCGGTTCGCCTTCTTTCGCCGGTTCCTCAGCTCAGGAAACTCCTTCTCCTGCAGCTCAGCAATAAACTGCCTGGTGGTTACCACAGCACAGAACAGGGCCAGGGTTAGCTACTCATGTGGATGAACGGGTTACCACAGAACAGGGCCAGGGTTCGCTACTCATGTAGATCAACTGAGAAGAGAGTAGAATATGCCTTATGTGGAGAGAGGGTTAAGAGAAAGGGCCATGAGCAGTGAAGCAGGACATTTGAAACAGACAGCAACAACAGCAGTTATTTTTGCTCCACTCAAACAGCAGCAAGACATAGAAAATGACATATTACATGGTTTTTAAGTAGCAGAGCGGGACCTCTCTTACAGGTTATGTGCAGTGGTTACCTGATCAGCATGTCTCCCCTTTGTGAGTCGAGCATCTACTGCCATCTAGTGGAAGGAAACTATAATTGCAACCTAATCCAACAGCCTATCATCTCCAATGACACAACGCACCAGAATTACTCCCTGATCCATTTTGATCTGACAGGTTTGAGAGCCATCATGTCATCCTTCCTCCTCTATTTCCTATTCAGTTACTGCTCGGTGTTCTTCAGTTTGTCAGGGACCAGGCTCAGCTTAGACTGCATGTCGTTGATGACGTCCTGGAGCTCGGCCTCCGAGGGGAAGAATGCCCTGGCACACGGGGCAGTAGGGCTCACCCTCTGTCAGCTGACTGATGAACTGAGTGTACATGGCCGTGTCACCCTCCAGCATGGCTGAGCACACACACACACACACACACAGAGGGGCACACACAGATAAGGTTAATAATATCTCAGACATTATTCAAAACAGATTAGACTAAAAACACCCTATAAAAAATATCCCCATGTCAACAAACACCTCACAGGTTATCAGTAATGCACAGCCCAGGGTAGTGGTATTCAAACTTGGGGTCGTTTGTTTTTTAGGAACAAAAAATTAGGTTTTTGAGAAAGATCATTTGAAAAATAATATTTTGAGTAAATGTATTTATTGGTTTATTTTCATTTTGAGAAGAGATGAAAATGTAATGAATTGAAGGTTATTTGATACAAAATCTAAATGTACAGATTTTAAGGTTGTGCCATTAGATTTGGGGTGGGGTTGCGAGAAATTCTTGAGAAAAAAATGTGGTCCCCAGAAATTCTGTTGGAAAAAAATGTGGTCCCCGCTGAAAAAGTTTGAATTCCACTGTTAGTTACCTATCTGCTTGGAGGTCTTCTCCAGGTCGTCCTGCAGCTTGCCCAGGTCCTGCTGGAAGTCCTGACTGCCACACACATTGAACATATTTTCCTCATAGGTGGCCAGCTGCTGCTCCTTCCTCCTGATCTCTGCAGCGCAGTGGCTCTTATTCTGCTCCCCCGATGCCAGCTCCTTACTGCAAGCACATTACAGTCACATACACACTTCAGCAGCTCCTTACTGCAAGCACATTACAGTCACATACACACTTCAGCAGCTCTGTACTGCAACAACAGGACCAGACTGAGAGCAGATGTTAATCTGGCCATGTGTGACGGAAGCACTCACTTGTGCTTGGCCAGTTTTCTCCCTGGTGGAGTTGATATCTTTGAACTTGGTGTAGATCTAGTCCTCCAGCTCCCTCTTCTTAGGGAAGTGATCCAGCAGACCACCAGATCCTCGTTGTGCCTCGACTTTATCTTCCTCTGAGAGAAGGAAAGAGGCCCACAGGCTCATGTTACCACTGGCCAGGGTCAGAGGTCAGTTACCACTGGCCAGGGTCAGAGGTCAGTTACCACTGGCCTGGGTCAGAGGTCAGTTACCACAGACCAGGGTCAGAGGTCAGTTACCACTGGCCAGGGTCAGAGGTCAGTTACCACTGGCCAGGGTCAGAGGTCAGTTACCACTGGCCAAATCAAATCAAAGTACACAGATTTGCAGATGTTACCGCATGTGGAGCGAAATGGTTGTGTTTCTAGCTTTTGGCCCTCTCCACTGTGGCCCCGTCGATGTGGACGTGCTCTCTGTTGTCTCCTGTAGTCCACGATCAGCTCCTTCGTTTTGTTGACGTTGAGGGAGAGGTTATTTTCCTTGTATCACTTCTGTCAGGGCTCTCACCTCCTCCCTGTAGGCTGTCTCATCGTTGTTGGTAATGAGGCCTACCACTGTTGTGTCATCAGTGGGGCCACCGTGTTGAGGATCAGCGTGGCAGAGGTGTTGTTGCCTACCTTCACCACTTGGGGTCGGCCCGTCAGGAAGTCCAGGACCCAGTTGCACAGAGAGGGATTCAGAGCTTAGTGATTAGGTTGGAGGGCACTATGATGTTGAAGGCTGAGCTGTAGTCTATGAACAGCATTCTTACATAGGTATTTATCTTGTCCAGGTGGGATAGGGCAGTGTGCAGTGCAATGGCGATTGCGTCGTCCGTGAATCTGTTGGGGAAGTATGCGAATTGTAGTGGGTCTACGTTTTCGGGTAAGGTGGAGGTGATATGGTCCTTATCTAGCCTCTCAAAGTACTTCATGATGACGGAAGTGAGTGCTACGTGGCAATTAGTCAGTTAGTTCAGTTACCTTCACTTTCTTGGGAACAGGAACAATGGTGGACACCTTGAAGCAAGTGGGGACAACAGACTGGGATATGGAGACTGGCCAGATCAGAGGTCAGTTACCACTGGCCAGGGTCAGAGTGACCTCTTGTTCAGAGTGATGGGTGAGGTTTAGGCTACTAACTAAACAATCAAGCATACGTCATGTATACTCAGGTAGTTGTGTGTATTGTATACTGAAAAAAACAAAACAATGCACACCTGCACAGGGCTCACTACACTTCTCACATCTCAATTGTGTAGATTGACAATCTTTTAGCCTGTGTACTGTAATTGAGCATATGCAGGCATCTTTTATTATTGTTATGAGATGACCCTACGTGATGCTTCTTGAGCATGTCCACCTGTGTGTGTTGAGAGTCTCCATCTCCTGGTCCAGCCGGCGCTGTGTGTGTTGAGAGTCTCCATCTCCTGGTCCAGCCGGTGCTGTGTGTGTTGAGGGTCTCCATCTCCTGGTCCAGCCGGTGCTGTGTGTGTTGAGGGTCTCCATCTCCTGGTCCAGCCGGTGCTGTGTGTGTTGAGGGTCTCCATCTCCTGGTCCAGCCGGTGCAGTGTGTGTTGAGGGTCTCCATCTCCTGGTCCAGCCGGTGCTGTGTGTGTTGAGGGTCTCCATCTCCTGGTCCAGCCGGCTCTGTGTGTGGTCCAGCTCAACCTTGTCTTTCTGGAGCTCCAGTACCTCGACCCTCAGCCCGTCCACGTTGGAGCTATGCACCGCGCTGTCCAGCTCCCGCTCCTGCAGAGACATACCACAGGTACACACAGCAATATCACTCACTCATATACTTTTCTCGTCAATCAATCAAAAAACATATTCTTAAAAACTGTAAATCAACTAATCCTCCATTGTTAACACAATAGAACGGTCAAATGCTTTATTGTCTAAATGTTGAAAGTGCGTGGGCGACGGAGAAAAACAAAATGGTGCAGTTTGAAGCCATGTGGAAGAGAGTGATGGTGGTGCTGGAGATTGGGGGTGTAAGCAGGTGGGTCTGGGCAGTTGTGATGTTGTTGATGTTTGTGTGCATCTGTCTGCTTTCGTTTGAATGTGTATTGTTAAATGTTTTTACAATAATAATCTTTAAATATATAAATACAGTATATACAGTACCAGTCGAAAGTTTGGACACACCTACTCATTCCAGGGTTTTTCTTTATTTGTACTATTTTCGAAATTGTAGTGTAGTGTATTAGGATTATCTCTTTGTTAATGTTTTTCATGTGGAACTGAACGGATGTTTATTTCAGTTCAAAAGTAGCCATTTGTAGGGTGACGCCCCAGGGGAGACAGGTGATTGGACAGTAGAGGGAGCCACCCATATCTTGGGGAGATTATATATACTGGGGAAAAACGAAGAAGAGGTTAGAGCAGACATTACAATTCGAGGACACTGCTCTCTGGGTGTCATGACATCCGTCACTTATGCTGAAATCGTGTGATATGAATAAAACTTATGATCAAAGGTTCAGTATGAGCGGACTCCTTTGTTTGACAGCAATGAGCACCAGCAGCGACAAGATACACGACAGTAGAATAATAGTGAAGAAATCAAAACTATGAAATAACACATATGGAATTATGTAGTAACCAAAAAAGTGTTAAACAAATCAAAATATATTTTAGATTCTTCAAAGTAGCCACTCTTTGCCTTGAGGTGCAGTTAACTCTAATGAACTTATCCTCTGCAGCAGAGTTACCTGCATTCCAGGTGACTACCTAATAAAGCTGGTTGAGAGAATTCCTCAAGGCAAAGTGTGGCTATTTGAATAATCTCAAATATTAAATATATTTGTATTTGTTTAACACTTTTTTGGTTACTACATGATTCCATATGTGTTATTTCATTGTTTTGATGTCTTCACTATTATTCTATAATGTAGAAAAACCCTGGAATGAGTAGGTGTGTCCAAACTTTTGACTGGTACTGTATATAACACTCACCAGCAGTACTCTGTACCTCCAGGGTAGGATTTTAATACCCCTTACTTAGAGGCAGGACTACTTGTAGATGTTTGCAGCTTTGGATGTTCATTTGGTCGCCTAAGAAAACAATCTAGAGGGACACTATCATTCAAACCCAAAAGTCTAGTGAACATGACTCAGTAACTTTCTCTTTGCGATAAACAACACATTCACAGGGGAAAACTTTTTTTCTCATTGAATTCAAAAAAGGATTGTTGCGTCCTGAGTGGCAACCTATTCCCTATATAGTGCACTACTTTTGGAAAAGTGCGCTTCTACCATATGGACCTTGGTCAAAAGTAGTGTACTATAGAAGGGAATAGGGTGCAGACATGTGTTGTGCTTGTACTGCTTTGGTGAGCTCCCTTTCCAGTTCCTGCAGCCGGGTGGAGGAGTCCTCCAGTCCCTGCAGGTCAGATTGACGTTCCTCAGCTCCTGCTGCTTTGTGCCCTGCAGGTCTTTCGTCAGCTCAGTGGTCCTCTCCAAACCCGTCTTCTTGTCTTCGGTCTCATCGATGCTCTGCTGCTTCATGGCTTCCTTCTCTTGCATATCCCTCTGGAACACAGGTTGGAATATAGAGAATGGCTTAGAAGAACATCGTCATAGAACATTAATAGTGTCAGGAGTCAGTTTAGGGTCAGTTTCCTGACCGTGTAAACATGATCTAAACATGACCAATGGAACAGAGCTGTATCTTTCCAAGCTTTGTGCTGACGGGACTTTGTCTTACCATGACCTGGTTGGCCTTAGTCTCCTGGTCGAGTTTCTCTTTGACCTGTTGGTTGAAGCTCTGCAGCTGTCTGTCTTTGAAGGGGAAACGGTTGTAGCCCTCCATTTCCAGGTAGGCTGCCAGGGCTCTGACCTGGGAGTCACAGTTCCTCATGTTCTGGGCGTGGCAATCAGCTTCCAGCTGGAGAAGACCTTAGTGGAGGAGAAAAATACAACAGGATCAATATCAGCGTAGCACCTGTAATGAAATTAAACATTCAATATGATCTGTTAGGTTTATTGATTACTGTATGTTTAGACCAGCCAACACACATCTACAGTCTACAGCAGGGATGTCAAACAAATGTGGCCCCGGGGGTCACATTCAGTCTTCAACGAGGTCCAGAAGGCCGCACTGAAAATTGGTTATATGTTCTATGCTACCTGACTGTGTAGCTTTCATTTAGGTGATTATTAGCGAGCTGAACACGGTCAAGAAACTGTACAAATGGACTGTAGGTCCATTATCATTTCTACAGTTTCGATTAGGTATTAGTCATTTTAAAGTGTAATGAGTTTGTTTCCCCCCACCAAAAAAAAGTAATAAAATAAAATAAATAAATAAATAAATAAATATTTATCAAATGTATAAATATAAATAAACTGAAATATTACATGTACAGTGGGTAGAACAAGTATTTGATACACTGCCGATTTTGCAGGTTTTCCTACTTACAAAGCATGTAGAGGTCTGTCATTTTTATCATAGGTACACTTCAACTGTGAGAGACGGAATCTAAAACAAAAATCCAGAAAATCACATTGAATGATTTTAAAGTAATTAATTTGCATTTTATTGCATGACATAAGTATTTGATACATCAGAAAAGCAAAAACCTTTGTTTGCAATTACAGAGATCATAAGTTTCCTGTAGGTCTTGACCAGGTTTGCACACACTGCAGCAGGGATTTTGGCCCACTCCTCCATACAGACCTTCTCCAGATCCTTCAGGTTTCGGGGCTGTTGCTGGGCAATACAGACTTTCAGCTCCCTCAAAAGATGTTCTATTGGGTTCAGGTCTGGAGACTGGCTAGGCCACTCCAGAACCTTGAGATGCTTCTTACGGTGCCACTCCTTAGTTGCACTGGCTGTGTGTTTCGGGTCGTTGTCATGCTGGAAGACCCAGCCACGACCCATCTTCAATGCTCTTACTGAGGGAAGGAGGTTGTTGGCCAAGATCTCGCGATACATGGCCCCATCCATCCTCCCCTCAATACGGTGCAGTCGTCCTGTCCCCTTTGCAGAAAAGCATCCCCAAAGAATTATGTTTCCACCTCCATGCTTCACGGTTGGGATGGTGTTCTTAGGGTTGTACTCATCCTTCTTCTTCCTCCAAACAAAGCGAGTGGAATTTAGACCAAAAAGCTCTATTTTTGTCTCATCAGACCACATGACCTTCTCCCATTCCTCCTCTGGATCATCCAGATGGTCATTGGCAAACTTCAGACGGGCCTGGACATGCACTGGCTTGAGCAGGGGGACCTTGCGTGCGCTGCAGGATTTTAATCCATGACGGCGTAGTGTGTTACTAATGGTTCTTTGAGACTGTGGTCCCAGCTCTCTTCAGGTCATTGACCAGGTCCTGCTGTGTAGTTCTGGGCTGATCCCTCACCTTCCTCATGATCACTGATGCCCCACGAGGTGAGATCTTGCATGGAGCCCCAGACCGAGGGTGATTGACCGTCATCTTGAACTTCTCCCATTTTCTAATAATTGCGCCAACAGTTGTTGCCTTCTCACCAAGCTGCTTGCCTATTGTCCTGTAGCCCATCCCAGCCTTGTGCAGGTCTACAATTGTATCCCTGATGTCCTTACACAGCTCTCTGGTCTTGGCCATTGTGGAGAGGTTGGAGTCTGTTTGATTGAGTGTGTGGACAGGTGCCTTTTATACAGGTAACGATTTCAAACAGGTGCAGTTAATACAGGTCATGAGTGGAGAACAGGAGGGCTTCTTAAAGAAAAACTAACAGGTCTGTGAGAGCCGGAATTCTTACTGGTTGGTAGGTGATCAAATGCTTATGTCATGCAATAAAATGCAAATTAATTACTTAAAAATCATACAATGTGATTTTCTGGATTTTTGTTTTAGATTCCGTCTCTCACAGTTGAAGTGTACCTATGACAAAAATTACAGACCTCTACATGCTTTGTAAGTAGGAAAACCTGCAAAATCGGCAGTGTATCAAATACTTGTTCTCCCCACTGTACATAAGTATTCAGACCCTTTACTCAGTACTTTGTTGAAGCAACTTTGGCAGCAATTACACCGTGTTGAGGATCAGCGTGGCAGAGGTGTTGTTGCCTACCTTCACCACTTGGGGTCGGCCCGTCAGGAAGTCCAGGACCCAGTTGCACAGAGAGGGATTCAGAGCTTAGTGATTAGGTTGGAGGGCACTATGATGTTGAAGGCTGAGCTGTAGTCTATGAACAGCATTCTTACATAGGTATTTATCTTGTCCAGGTGGGATAGGGCAGTGTGCAGTGCAATGGCGATTGCGTCGTCCGTGAATCTGTTGGGGAAGTATGCGAATTGTAGTGGGTCTACGTTTTCGGGTAAGGTGGAGGTGATATGGTCCTTATCTAGCCTCTCAAAGTAGTTCAGTTACCTTCACTTTCTTGGGAACAGGAACAATGGTGGACACCTTGAAGCAAGTGGGGACAACAGACTGGGATATGGAGACTGGCCAGATCAGAGGTCAGTTACCACTGGCCAGGGTCAGAGTAACCTCTTGTTTAGAGTGATGGGTCAGGTTACGCCTGGCCAGGGTCAGAGTGACCTCTTGTTCAGAGTGATGGGTGAGGTTTGGGCTACTAACTAAACAATCAAGCATACGTCATGTATACTCAGGTAGTTGTGTGTATTGTATACTGAAAAAAACAAAACAATGCACACCTGCACAGGGCTCACTACACTTCTCACATCTCAATTGTGTAGATTGACAATATTTTAGCCTGTGTACTGTAATTGAGCATATGCAGGCATCTTTTATTATTGTTATGAGATGACCCTACGTGATGCTTCTTGAGCATGTCCACCTGTGTGTGTTGAGAGTCTCCATCTCGTGGTCCAGCCGGTGCTGTGTGTGTTGAGAGTCTCCATCTCCTGGTCCAGCCGGCGCTGTGTGTGTTGAGAGTCTCCATCTCCTGGTCCAGCCGGTGCAGTGTGTGTTGAGGGTCTCCATCTCCTGGTCCAGCTGGTGCTGTGTGTGTTGAGGGTCTCCATCTCCTGGTCCAGCCGGTGCTGTGTGTGTTGAGGGTCTCCATCTCCTGGTCCAGCCGGTGCTGTGTGTGTTGAGGGTCTCCATCTCCTGGTCCAGCCGGTGCTGTGTGTGTTGAGGGTCTCCATCTCCTGGTCCAGCCGGTGCTGTGTGTGTTGAGGGTCTCCATCTCGTGGTCCAGCCGGTGCTGTGTGTGTTGAGGGTCTCCATCTCCTGGTCCAGCCGGTGCAGTGTGTGTTGAGGGTCTCCATCTCCTGGTCCAGCCGGTGCAGTGTGTGTTGAGGGTCTCCATCTCCTGGTCCAGCCGGTGCAGTGTGTGTTGAGGGTCTCCATCTCCTGGTCCAGCCGGTGCTGTGTGTGTTGAGGGTCTCCATCTCCTGGTCCAGCCGGTGCTGTGTGTGTTGAGGGTCTCCATCTCCTGGTCCAGCCGGCTCTGTGTGTGGTCCAGCTCAACCTTGTCTTTCTGGAGCTCCAGTACCTCGACCATCAGCCCGTCCACGTTGGAGCTATGCACCGCGCTGTTCAGCTCCCGCTCCTGCAGAGACATACCACAGGTACACTTTTTGTTAATGTTTTTCATGTGGAACTGAACTGATGTTTATTTCAGTTCAAAAGTAGCCATTTGTAGGGTGACGCCCCAGGGGAGACAGGTGATTGGACAGTAGAGGGAGCCACCCATATCTTGGGGAGATTATATATACTGGGGAAAAACGAAGAAGAGGTTAGAGCAGACATTACAATTCGAGGACACTGCTCTCTGGGTGTCATGACATCCGTCACTTATGCTGAAATCGTGTGATATGAATAAAACTTATGATCAAAGGTTCAGTATGAGCGGACTCCTTTGTTTGACAGCAATGAGCACCAGCAGCGACAAGATACACGACAGTAGAATAATAGTGAAGAAATCAAAACTATGAAATAACACATATGGAATTATGTAGTAACCAAAAAAGTGTTAAACAAATCAAAATATATTTTAGATTCTTCAAAGTAGCCACTCTTTGCCTTGAGGTGCAGTTAACTCTAATGAACTTATCCTCTGCAGCAGAGTTACCTGCATTCCAGGTGACTACCTAATAAAGCTGGTTGAGAGAATTCCTCAAGGCAAAGTGTGGCTATTTGAATAATCTCAAATATTAAATATATTTGTATTTGTTTAACACTTTTTTGGTTACTACATGATTCCATATGTGTTATTTCATTGTTTTGATGTCTTCACTATTATTCTATAATGTAGAAAAACCCTGGAATGAGTAGGTGTGTCCAAACTTTTGACTGGTACTGTATATAACACTCACCAGCAGTACTCTGTACCTCCAGGGTAGGATTTTAATACCCCTTACTTAGAGGCAGGACTACTTGTAGATGTTTGCAGCTTTGGATGTTCATTTGGTCGCCTAAGAAAACAATCTAGAGGGACACTATCATTCAAACCCAAAAGTCTAGTGAACATGACTCAGTAACTTTCTCTTTGCGACAAACAACACATTCACAGGGGAAAACTTTTTTTCTCATTGAATTCAAAAAAGGATTGTTGCGTCCTGAGTGGCAACCTATTCCCTATATAGTGCACTACTTTTGGAAAAGTGCGCTTCTACCATATGGACCTTGGTCAAAAGTAGTGTACTATAGAAGGGAATAGGGTGCAGACATGTGTTGTGCTTGTACCGCTTTGGTGAGCTCCGTTTCCAGTTCCTGCAGCCGGGTGGAGGAGTCCTCCAGTCCCTGCAGGTCAGATTGACGTTCCTCAGCTCCTGCTGCTTTGTGCCCTGCAGGTCTTTCGTCAGCTCAGTGGTCCTCTCCAAACCCGTCTTCTTGTCTTCGGTCTCATCGATGCTCTGCTGCTTCATGGCTTCCTTCTCTTGCATATCCCTCTGGAACACAGGTTGGAATATAGAGAATGGCTTAGAAGAACATCGTCATAGAACATTAATAGTGTCAGGAGTCAGTTTAGGGTCAGTTTCCTGACCGGTGTAAACATGATCTAAACATGACCAATGGAACAGAGCTGTATCTTTCCAAGCTTTGTGCTGACGGGACTTTGTCTTACCTGACGGGACTTTGACTTTGTCTTACTTTGTCTTACTCTTTGACCTGTTGGTTGAAGCTCTGCAGCTGTCTGTCTTTGAAGGGGAAACGGTTGTAGCCCTCCATTTCCAGGTAGGCTGCCAGGGCTCTGACCTGGGAGTCACAGTTCCTCATGTTCTGGGCGTGGCAATCAGCTTCCAGCTGGAGAAGACCTTAGTGGAGGAGAAAAATACAACAGGATCAATATCAGCGTAGCACCTGTAATGAAATTAAACATTCAATATGATCTGTTAGGTTTATTGATTACTGTATGTTTAGACCAGCCAACACACATCTACAGTCTACAGCAGGGATGTCAAACAAATGTGGCCCCGGGGGTCACATTCAGTCTTCAACGAGGTCCAGAAGGCCGCACTGAAAATTGGTTATATGTTCTATGCTACCTGACTGTGTAGCTTTCATTTAGGTGATTATTAGCGAGCTGAACACGGTCAAGAAACTGTACAAATGGACTGTAGGTCCATTATCATTTCTACAGTTTCGATTAGGTATTAGTCATTTTAAAGTGTAATGAGTTTGTTTCCCCCCACCAAAAAAAAGTAATAAAATAAAATAAATAAATAAATAAATATTTATCAAATGTATAAATATAAATAAACTGAAATATTACATTTACAGTGGGGAGAACAAGTATTTGATACACTGCCGATTTTGCAGGTTTTCCTACTTACAAAGCATGTAGAGGTCTGTCATTTTTATCATAGGTACACTTCAACTGTGAGAGACGGAATCTAAAACAAAAATCCAGAAAATCACATTGTATGATTTTAAAGTAATTAATTTGCATTTTATTGCATGACATAAGTATTTGATACATCCGAAAAGCAGAACTTAATATTTGGTACAGAAACCTTTGTTTGCAATTACAGAGATCATATGTTTCCTGTAGGTCTTGATCAGGTTTGCACACACTGCAGCAGGGATTTTGGCCCACTCCTCCATACAGACCTTCTCCAGATCCATCAGATTTCGGGGCTAATTAATTGCTAATTAATTACTTCCATACAATGTGATTTTCTGGATTTTTGTTTTAGATTCCGTCTCTCACAGTTGAAGTGTACCTATGATAAAAATTACAGACCGCTACATGCTTTGTAAGTAGGAAAACCTGCAAAATTGGCAGTGTATCAAATACTTGTTCTCCCCACTGTACATACAAATTCTATCCACGAGTTCATCTGACTCTGGGGAAGTGTATAAAGGGCCTCATTGCCAAAATCCCAAAGTATTATGTTATATTAATGTTCCGGTTGGTTGGTAGCTAGCTAGCACTCACTCACTGCTAGCACTGTCATGAAAAGGGGCATGAGGGAAGCCCTACAATATTATGTTTTTGTAAGTAGTGAGAACACTCAGGAGCAGGCAATGTTGAAAAGTAATCTTTAGACATGTTGTACTTTTCTGAAATGTAGTTTTGTAATTGACTAAAACAAGCAGACAACAAGAAAATTGTTTTTGAAAAGGGTACAGTTTTTCCTGAGATCCAATGGGGTAACCTAGGTAACCATTGTTTTCACCACAGGCGGCGTTCTATCTAATACCGACTGGGACTATAGGATAATCAAGCTCTTCTCAGAATGGACTCATGGTTCTTTGTTAGCAGGTGTTGGGCTCACAAGCATACTTAGAGAAGGTGTTCTCCATTGATGAGAATGGAATAATGCTCAATAGTGCTCAACTGCCCCAGAAATGTTCCTGTGAAATTAATCTGTCATACCTGCTCCATTTTCTCCTCCAGTTCCTGGTTGTCTTCCTCCATCTGCGCCTTCCTGCTGGGTAAGGCCTCGATGTCGTTGTCCAGCTTCATCACCTTCCCCCAGATTCTCATCAATGTCAACTAGTCGGTTCTGATATAAAACAGATCAAAATACTTCATGAGTGTTATACATGCGGTAATACAGCTTCGTCAGACTGTCATCGCATGCAAAACATTTTAATTGAGTTACCTAATTAAGAATTGACTTGGTTTACTTTCAGCCACTAGTTTTATAAACAGGACAAAAACAACATTTGTTTAGCCTCTAAATTGGTTCTAAATGGCATGCTCTATAAAACACTATATCATGAGCAGATGTACACCATTCATCTTCATCTAGAAATAATTATCTGTGGAACGAGGATCCACGTCCAAGGGTTCAAACTGGCTCTCTATCTTCTGAACAGTCTCTTTGGAGGAGGCCAGCTGGTTCTCCTTGGTGGTAAGCAGCTCCTTGATGGGCTGGGCCTTCTCCTCGTTCAGCTTCAGGAACCTCAGCTCCACCTGGCACTCCCTCACGTCGCTTGAGTGATTCAGCCTCAGCTGCCTCAGCATCTCCAGCACCTTGATGTACCTGAATGGTGGAGTGAGGGAGAACCGTTAGTTCACATAGCTAAATCCTTTATATCTATTCATTTACATGGGTAAATTTATGGGTTTAAGGCGCGTGGGAACGCTGAGTGAGAAAGAGAGTTGAAATACGGGGAGGTATTTCTTTGAAGCAGCTCTTCTTAGAATTCTCTGGTCACTGAGTAAAGCAACAGGAACTACAGACACCAGATCATCACAGCCATCATTCTAATCAGCCTGTACTACTGTAATCAGCCTATACTACGGACACTAATCAGCCTGTACTACTGTAATCAGCCTATACTACGGACACTAATCAGCCTGTACTACTGTAATCAGCCTATACTACTGACACTAATCAGCCTGTACTACTGTAATCAGCCTATACTACTGACACTAATCAGCCTGTACTACTGTAATCAGCCTATACTACGGACACTAATCAGCCTGTACTACTGTAATCAGCCTATACTACTGACACTAATCAGCCTGTACTACTGTAATCAGCCTATACTACTGACACTAATCAGCCTGTACTACTGTAATCAGCCTATACTACTGACACTAATCAGCCTGTACTACTGTAATCAGCCTATACTACGGACACTAATCAGCCTGTACTACTGTAGTCAGCCTATACTCCAGAGTTTTATATTTTATGGTTACTGTTTCGATATTGTGTATTCAGGTAAAAAAACCTCTCCCTCAACGTTAGCAAAATAAAGGAGCTGATTCTGGACTTCAGGAAGAACCAGGCTGGGCATGCCCCCATCCTCATGAACGTCAAGTTCCTCGGTGTACACATCTCAGAGGAACTGAAACGGTCAAACCACACAGACACTGTGGTGAAGAAGGCACGACAGCGACTCTTCAACCTTAGGATGCTGAAGAAATTTGGCCTGTCCCCGAGGTCCTTCACAGGGTTCTATACAGTAGGAGCACCGTCGAGATCATACTGTCTGGCTGCATCACAGCCTGGTGCGGCAACTCCACCACCGCGGACTGCAAGACGCTACAGAGGGAAGTACACTCAGCCGAACGCACCATTGGGAGCACACTGCTTGCCCTGCAGGACATTTACAACACCAGGTGTTGCAGGAAGGCCAAGAGATCATCAGGGACCCCAGCCACCCGAGCCATGGCCTGTTCTCCCAGTTTCCATCACTCAGACGTGGGCAGTATAGGAGCATCATGGCAAAAAACTGTAAGACTGGTCAATAGCTTCTACCCCCAGACCATCAGGCTGCTGAATAGCCACCACTGGTCTGCTTATTTCTGCCTCATGCACCAAATCATGTTGTTACTCCTATGACCAGAGAAAGTCAAATATTCCTCGATATTAAAAAAGCCACAAGCCACCAATAATAACAATGTAAGCTTATCGGAACACTTTGCTATACTCATTCATCGCAGCTGCAGTGCTGGTTGTAGCGTGAGTGGAAGTAGGGAGAACGTGCATTTTAAGTCTTATAAAAGTGTTGAACAAAGTGTTGACAGTGCTGAGTGACAATTTAAACATGAACTTGCTCATAAAAACAGCAGCTCTTTGCTGTATTCATTGAGTCTCTCTCTAGTCATGGTTTTTAAAGTTTTTAAATCTCACAGTATCAACTTTGCTGTCCGTTCGAGGGTTCTATTTACATCTTGAGGAAACTGTGCAGACACAGTGATCTGAGCTATCTTATTGGCCAGCGGTAGACCTACAGTGAGGGAAAAAAGTATTTGATCCCCTGCTGATTTTGTACGTTTGTCCACTGACAAAGAAATGATCAGTCTATAATTTTAATGGTAGGTTTATTTGAACAGTGAGAGACAGAATAACAACAACAAAAATCCGGATAAAACGCATGTCAGAAATGTTATAAATTGATTTGCATTTTAATGAGGGAAATAAGTATTTGACCCCCTCTCAATCAGAAAGATTTCTGGCTCCCAGGTGTCTTTTATACAGGTAACGAGCTGAGATTAGGAGCACACTCTTAAAGGGAGTGCTCCTAATCTCAGCTTGTTACTTGTATAAAAGACACCTGTCCACAGAAGCAATCAATCAATCAGATTCCAAACTCTCCACCATGGCCAAGACCAAAGAGCTCTCCAAGGATGTCAGGGACAAGATTGTAGGGGACAAGATTGTATTATTATTATTATTAATTATTATTATTATTATTGTAGACGTACACAAGGCTGGAATGGGCTACAAGACCATCGCCAAGCAGCTTGGTGAGAAGGTGACAACAGTTGGTGCGATTATTCGCAAATGGAAGAAACACAAAAGACTGTCAATCTCCCTTGGCCTGGGGCTCCATGCAAGATCTCACCTCGTGGAGTTGCAATGATCATGAGAACGGTGTGAAATCAGCCCAGAACTACACTGGATGATCTTGTCAATTATCTCAAGGCAGCTGGGACCATAGTCACCAAGAAAACAATTGGTAACACACTACGCCGTGAAAGACTGAAATCCTGCAGTGCCCGCAAGGTCCCCCTGCTCAAGAAAGCACATATACATGCCAGTCTGAAGTTTGCCAATGAACATCTGAATGATTCAGAGGAGAACTGGGTGAAAATGTTGTGGTCAGATGAGACCAAAATTGAGCTCTTTGGCATCAACTCAACTCGCCGTGTTTGGAGGAGGAGGAATGCTGCCTATGACCCCAAGAACACCATCCCCACCGTCACACACGGAGGTGGAAACATTATGCTTTGGGGGTGTTTTTCTGCTAAGGGGACAGGACAACTTCACTGCATCAAAGGGATGATGGGCGGGGCCATGTACCGTCAAATCTTGGGTGAGAACCTCCTTCCCTCAGCCAGGGCATTGAAAATTGGTCGTGGATGGGTATTCCAGCATGACAATGACCCAAAACACACAGACAAGGCAACAAAGGAGTGGCTCAAGAAGAAGCACATTAAGGTCCTGGAGTGGCCTAGCCAGTCTCCAGACCTTAATCCCATAGAAAATATGTGGAGGGAGCTGAAGGTTCGAGTTGCCAAACGTCAGGCTCGAAACCTTAATGACTTGGAGAAGATCTGCAAAGAGGAGTGGGACAAAATCCCTCCTGAGATGTGTGCAAACCTGGTGGCCAACTACAAGAAACGTCTAACCTCTGTGATTGCCAACAAGGGTTTTGCCACCAAGTACTAAGTCATGTTTTGCAGAGTGGTCAAATACTTATTTCCCTCATTAGAATGCAAATCAATTCATAACATTTTTGACATGCGTTTTTCTGGATTTTTTTGTTGTTATTCTGTCTCTCATCGTTCAAATAAACATACCATTAAAATTATAGACTGATCATGTCTTTGTCAGTGGGCAAACGTACAAAATCAGCAGGGGATCAAATACTCTTTTCCCTCACTCTATATGTGCACTTGATTCGCTCTCTGGGCCTGCCGGGTAGGCAGAGTCCTACCTTCAGACATATGAAATGGTTCAAAATGGGAACACTTTGCCTTCCCGGCGCTGCTGAATCAAGTGCACCTACTGCCAACAGCGTGAACGACTGGTTTTAGTGTTAAACTCAGTTGATCCTGTTGATGAATTTTTCTAATCAGACTCTCTATGTGACCATCTCTTGAAATTGTATTTTCTGGGCGTCAGTTAAACTGCAGTACCAAAGCAAAACTGTAGGAGCAGTTGAAACCGTGCTTCTAGATTGGAACCCTGGCCCCTTGACTCAGATCCAGACTCATAGAGTACCACAGTATGAGACGCATTAAAATCTAGCAGTCAAACAAGGAAATGGTTCCAATAGTTTTTCCACCATTCATTTTCCCCATAGGGGATTTTAGAAACACTTAAAATAAGGGCTGTGTTCCGTGTAGGCTTACCCTGGCGTGACGTTTTGATAACCGTGTAAATCTCTCTTGGACAAGGTAACTTTTATCAATATATTTGCCTGTATTTACCCCCCAAAAATGAAATGCTTCTTCACCTGCGGGATCATCTGAGACCAGCCACCCGGACAGCTGATGAAATTGTGGGTTTGCTCAACCGAAGAATTTCTGCACAAACTGTCAGAAACTCATCTGCGCACTGGTCGTCCTCACCAGGGTCTTGACCTGACTGCAGTTTGGCGTCGTAACCAACTTCAGTGGGCAAATGCTCACCTTCGATGGCCACTGGCACGCTGGAGAAGTGTGCTCTTCACAGATGAATCCCGGTTTCAACTGTACCGGGCAGATGGCAGACGTATGGCGTCGTGTGGGCGAGCGGTTTGCTGATGTCAACGTGGTGAACATGTCCCAGTTCTTCAATGGCCTGCATACTCACCAGACATGTCACCCGTTGAGCATGTTTGGGATGCTCTGGATCGACATGTACGACAGCGTCTTCCAGTTCCCGCCAATATCCATCCACTCCACACAGCCAATGAAGAGGAGTGGGACAACATTCCACAGGCCACAATCAACAGCCTGATCAACTCTATGCGAAGGAGATGTGTCGCACTGCATTATACTGACTGGTTTTCTGATCCACGCCCCTACTTGTTTTTGTAACTTTCTGTGACCAACAGATGCATCGCTATATTTCCAGTCATGTGAAATCCATAGATTAGGGCATCCTAATAAATAAATAAAAAATTGACTGATTTCGATATATGAACTGTAACTCAGTAAAATATTTGAAATTGTTGCATGTTACGTTTTATATTTTTGTTCAGTGTAGGTATCAGTGTATTTTTGTTCAGTGTAGTTATCAGTGTATTTTGGTTCAATGTAGTTAGCATGGATTCAATCTCATCACCAAATCCGATTTTTTTATTTTATTTTTACAACTTATTAATATATTTTTCTGTCTTTTTTTATTATTTTTTTCTCTTTCTAGGAGAGGCTGAGGAATTCAAAGTGTTGGGAAGCTGGCTGCCTCTAGCGTTTTAATAATAATATATTTTTAAACACACACACAACTCCAATGTTTTCAGCGCCATGGACAGCAGCAACTCCACACAAAAATGCATCATCAATGTTTCATCAAGTATTGCTATTTATTCATCAAATTGTTTGTTCCGTCAACTGCGACTGTGTTCGACTTTGTCCACTCCCTCTGAATGGCTTCTGTGTAGTCTGTCCTGTCAGCACCAGTGCCATCCTAAGTCAGCCTGCTCAACAAAGCAATAACACAGACTCCGACAGACACTTCTTTAGACATTATTAAAGACCATAACGCACAATAGAGTAGGAAGCGGAGCCAGGTAACTTTTACACTTTTAAACAATTTTGAATCAAATATAGCCCTACATTTATAGCCTCACATGATTATGCTTTAATGACCATCAGTATAATTTTTTATGCAACACGTTGCTTAACATTTTTTATTCTTATCAGGGAAATGATCCAATCAACAACAAAAATAATGGCCCAAGGCGACACCTTTGAACTTGTCACTCATGGGCTAGTGTGTCCTGTTGGATACAAACACCAGCCTTTTTGTGCTGTGTGCAGATGCACAAATTGCAACACTGAAAGTAAGACTTGGATAGTTTCTCATTTTATGTGGGTCTGTCCTTTTACATTTAATTTAAGCTGGGTGTTTAAATAATACTTTTAGCTTCCTTTTGTTTCTGTCAAACATGATGAATTCACTCAAGGACAATATCTCTGAAATTTACATTTGTTCATCAGGTGAATGAGAAGGAGAAGAGGGGCGGGTCCCTGCCGGTTCACGCTAAAGTCATCGTAGGAAATATTATCCCAGCTGTCACAAAAAAATGATATAATCTATTACATAAAACATAGCCTCTGCCGAGTCCCCAACAACTGGATGCTCCTGTTTTCAGGGGAAATGGAAAGAGAGCATGTGACGCAACTTCCGCTTTTGGACTTTAACAAGGCGACACTCCATCTTAACTCCTCCTCCACATTTACTGAACAGTGCAGAAGAGAACCTCCCCTGACAGTTTTTTTCTTCTCGTCAAGACCAGTATATAGTATGTAGTGGATCTAGTTTCAGATGTTTATTTTACGCCTGCTGCGTTAGGTTGCATGAAACTGATTTTGAGACTACATTAAATATGTTGACTGCTATGTTAAACAACTGCAGCCATGGTTGCCTTGGTTGTCAATAGCCTTGTGGCTATTGAAGTATTGTAACTGTAGAAAACAGGACTCTCTAAAGTTGTCCCAGGTGAAACGGGCATGAGAGGGAGGGGCAACTGCTCCTGTGCAATCCACTGACTGAGCAAGGGAACACAGCCGAGGACTGAGCAAGGGAACACAGCCGAGGACTGAGCAAGGGAACACAGCCGAGGACTGAGCAAGGGAACACAGCCGAGACTGAGCAAGGGAACACAGCCGAGGACTGAGCAAGGGAACACAGCCGAGGACTGAGCAAGGGAACACAGCCGAGGACTGAGCAAGGGAACACAGCCGAGGACTGAGCAAGGGAACACAGCCGAGGACTGAGCAAGGGAACACAGCCGAGGACTGAGCAAGGGAACACAGCCGAGGACTGAGTTTATGCCTCTGTGTTTATTTGTAGAAACGTATGTCCCGCCCACCTCGGGATGCCTCGGGATATATACCTGTTTTAGTGGGGTGTAAATTCACTTGTCACATATTTGTCGCTGGGTTGACACATTTCAGACTAAAATAAATGCACATTCTTGATTCTACAAAGCACATTTTTCTGTCGATTTTTACGATAGCACAAATCTCTGTTATGACCACTCAAACACATGCCAGTCCCCTCAAAAATGGCACATGCTTTTTGATCTGCATTTATTTCAACACCGAGATCTCAGACAGACCTGTACAGTCTGCTATACTGTATACTGGCTCTCCTCATGCTCTCCTCTGTCTCTGCCTCTTCAACCCTGACACAGCACAGGTATATGATTAAGGAAGCCAGCTACTGGGCAAAAAACTGGTTTCCACGTTATTTCAACCCCCCCCCAAAAAAAATTATGAGATGACGTTGCATCAACGTGGAAAACTGATTGGATTTGCAAAAAGTGATCAACAGAAAGGCATTTTGTATTTTTTTTCAGCCTACTTTTAACCTAAATCCAATGACATGGTGACCTTTTTTTGTTGATTTCACAATGAATTCATGTTAGTTGAAAACTCAACCAAATATAAATCAAAACTAGACGTTGAACTGACATCTTTTTCCCAGTGGGCAGTGACAGATTACATTTGACATTAACGAAGAAGCGTAGTCTCTCAAGGCTAATATAGTGATATGACATCAGCAATACTTTGTCACAGATTGTGTAATGGCGAATACTATGTTGACTAGAGATGTCATTTACAGTTAGGTAGAAGGCCTTGATTTGGCCCACAAATAAAGGCTACAATGAGTATATCATGCACACATTGTCACATAACAATGGTATGTTTGTAAACATGACAGGTAGTTAGATAATTCACAATATATAACAAATGCTTTATTCACACAATGCCTAAAGAGCCATGAAGTCATCAGGCGCGTTCCAGCGGTTCACTTTTGTCAACTCGTTGACCATCTTTGGTCACCGCCTTTTAAATTGTCTTGCATGTGACTACATGTTGACTACATGAACTTGACAAAAATCATGTGATCAGAGGTCATGCGGTTTTTGATGAAGTCTCCTTCAAGTCACTGCAATTGCTTCTCATCAACTGCACCATGCAGCCATCACCTGCATTGTGGGAGGCACTATTTGTCAACCATTCAGCAGGGTGTTTTTGTTTGACCCACACAAACGTGGCCAACGACTTTGCCTAAAGCTACAGTGGATAGGCCTACGAATGAAAGTGATATTTGAGACATCTTTTTTCTAACCTGTGTGGTTCAGTTGGTAGAGCATGGTGCTTACAACGCCAGGGTTGTGGGTTTGATTCCCATGGGGGATCAGTACGAAAATGTATGCACTCACTACCAATGATTCTTCTAACCTGTGTGCGTTCAGTAGCACCCAGACTGCCGCGCATCTCCCCCAGGACTGCAGCGCAGAACTAGCTCACAGAGAGAAGCACGAGCTTGAACTTCGCTCAACTTTCTAGAGCAGTGGTCACCAACCTATCGGTCTCCAAGGCATTCCTAGTCGATCGCCAAGCATTTCTGTAAAAACAATAAAGCCTTGTGTTTTATTCGTGGCGGTAGGTGCACCCGATTCAGCTGCCCTGCGCACCGTTTTGAACCATTTCATGTGTCTGAAGGTACAAACTATGCCTTCGCGGCAGGCCCAGAGAGCAAATCAAGTGCATTATAGGCCTACCGCTGGCCAATCGGATGGCTCAGATGACCGTGTCTGCAGCAACGTAGCAGGCATAAAATAAAGCTACAGCAAAGTTGATACTGTGAGATTTCAAAACGTTTAGAACCATGACTAGAGAGACTGTCAACGAATACAGCTAAGAGCTGCTGTTTTTATGAGTGAGTTCATGTTTAAGAAAAAAAAACATGACTAGAGAGAGACTGTTAACGAATACAGCAAAGAGCTGCTGTTTTTATGAGTGAGTTCATGTTTAAGTTCTTACTCAGCACTCTCAACACTTTGTATTCAACACTTCTATAAGCCATACATACGTTCTTCCTAGTTCCACTCAGAGCTACAACAAGCACTGCAGCAATAATGAATGAGAAGGACAGTGTATCTAAAGGCTTGCGTTGTTATTATTAGCAACTTGAGTCTTTTTTAATATCTAGGAAAATTTCACTTTCTCTGTTCATATGGGTAACAACATGAATTTGTGCATGAGGCAGAAATAATGCGGGGTGCAAACCAAGTTGCCCCATCAGCTGGAAGACGGTGTCAGTTTTTGGTCAGTGTCAGTGGAGGAAAGGGAGAGCGGAGGGATGTTGAAAGACAGACCCTCAGTTTGCTGCTCTCTCCCTCTGCTGAGACTGAACATCAGACACAGGCACCATCAGCCCAGCAAATTAAAAGAAAATAAAAGTATTTACAGTGAGGGAAAAAAGTATTTGATCCCCTGCTGATTTTGTACGTTTGCCCACTGACAAAGACATGATCCGTCTATAATTTTAATGGAAGGTTCATTTGAACAGTGAGAGACAGAATAACAACAACAAAAAATCCAGATAAAACGCATGTCAAAAATGTTATGAATTGATTTGCATTTTAATGAGGGAAATAAGTATTTGACCCCTCTGCAAAACATGACTTAGTACTTGGTGGCAAAACCCTTGTTGGCAATCACAGAGGTTAGACGTTTCTTAGTTGGCCACCAGGTTTGCACACATCTCAGGAGGGATTTTGTCCCACTCCTCTTTGCAGATCTTCTCCAAGTCATTAAGGTTTTGAGCCTGACGTTTGGCAACTCGAACCTTCAGCTCCCTCCACAGATTTTCTATGGGATTAAGGTCTGGAGACTGGCTAGGCCACTCCAGGACCAATTTTCAATGCCCTGGCTGAGGGAAGGAGGTTCTCACCCAAGATTTGACGGTACATGGCCCCGTCCATCATCCCTTTGATGCGGTGAAGTTGTCCTGTCCCCTTAGCAGAAAAACACCACCAAAGCATAATGTTTCCACCTCCATGTTTGATGGTGGGGATGGTGTTCTTCGGATCATAGGCAGCATTCCTCCTCCTCCAAACAGAGGAGTTGATGCCAAAGAGCTCGATTTTGGTCTCATCTGACCACAACACTTTCACCCAGTTCTCCTCTGAATCATTCAGATGTTCATTGGCAAACTTCAGATGGGTCTATACTGTATATGTGCTTTCTTGAGCAGGGGGACCTTGCGGGCGCTACAGGATTTCAGTCCTTCACGGCGTAGTGTGTTACCAATTGTTTTCTTGGTGACTATGGTCCCAGCTGCCTTGAGATCATTGACAAGATCCTCCCGTGTAGTTCTGGGCTGATTCCTCACCGTTCTCAGGTGCGATCTCTCCCATCGGCCTTCTATCTGAGCATTAGAAGTTTGTCATTTTTATGAAAACAGGTTTTTTGTTTTTGAGGTTTGAACAGTGCTTTAGTGGTTTACATTGAGTTTGGCCCCCAGGCCAAGGGAGATTGACAGTTCTTTTGTGTTTCTTCCATTTGCGAATAATTGCACCGCTGTCACCTTCTCACCAATCTGCTTGGCGATGGTCTTGTAGCCCATTCCAGCCCTGTGTAGGTCTACAATCTTGTCCCTGACATCCTTGGAGAGCTCTTTGGTCTTGACCATGGTGGAGAGTTTGGAATCTGATTGATTGATTGCTT